AGTTTTGTGCCTTCAGCCATAAGAATGAGTGATAACAGGTATTGCCCCGTCTCTTTCTGTTTCTAAACTCTACCCACAGCTGTGTACACAGCTCCTGATTTAAGTAAGCTCTTCTCAAATTATCCATTTTGAGTGTGCCATCTGTTTCCTGCCAGGTCCCTGATTGATACAGTGTGTTTGATTAATGGGTATTAGTTCAGACTAGTTGGAACATGAAGCACGTGTGATGAAAACAGCGAAACATCACGTAGGCGCAGTAGGCTGGGAGCGGTGGTGAAGGGGCCTGTCTTCCAGGCAATGGGAACCTCAGGGGGGTTTAGACCAGGAGAAGCGTTTAGCAATCGGAGATGGGGAGATGAGTTAGGAGACGATTACAACGGCTATTACAGGAAGGTAACCTTTTGTAATTATCAGATTGGCTGAGCACCAAAGATGTGACAGCGCAGCATGTTGATAAGGGTGTGGAGGAATAGCACTCTCAGATATCGCCAGTGAGGGCATAAACTGATAACACCTCTTTGGAAGGCAACGTGATCATATCTGTCAATGTTATAAATGTTCGTAACCTACTGAGCCAGTAATTCCTCTTCTAGGTACTTAGCCTACAGGTAATACTGCACACACGCTAAATAATTTATTGGGGCGCCTGCGTGGCTCAGTCAGTTAAGCGTCCGACTTCAGCTCAGGTCACGATCTCGTGGTCCGTGAGTTCAAGCCCCGCGTCGAGCTCTGGGCTGATGGCTCAGAGCCTGGAGCCTGCTTCCGATTCTGTGTCTCCCTCTCCCTCTGCCCCTCCCCCGTTCATGCTCTGTCTCTCTCTGTCTCAAAAATAAATGAACGTTAAAAAAAAATTTTTTTTTTTAATTTATGTAGAAGGCTATTCGTTGTAGCATTTTCCTAATGGCTGAAGACTGGAACAACGTAAATGCCCATCAATTAGGGACTGGTCAGCAAGTATGGCACAGTCCATGGAAGGGGACACTATGCAGCAGTTAAAGAGAATGAAATGGCTCTATATGTACTCACATGGAAGATCTCCAAATATAACATTAGTGACAAAGGTAAGGTGCCTAATACTATACACAATATGCTTCTATTTGGGTGGGAGGATACAAGGATATCTTACACTGAAGTTTGTAAATGCAAAAACCAGAAGAACAAAGGAAACCAGTACAGGACAGTTGCTTTTTGATGAGAACTGTATGGCTGGGGTCAAAGGAAGGAGGAAGATTTACTTTTTATTCTAATCTTTTTGTACCCCTGCATAAAGTATCTAGATTTTAATATCAGTTCTAAAAACCAGACCATGAATAGCTTCCTTGGTGAAATAACACACAACTGAAAGGCATTCGACTAAAAAACACTTTATAATAGAACATTTGAATTCCTGAGCAGAATGTTGAGCTTGTTTACCGGGTAAGTAAATGGACTCGAATTGTCTTGCTTGGTCTTGTCAGTTCTTAAAGTTCAGAGTAAATAGTATCTGCAAACTTGGAAGGCAGGCCTTTGAACAGTAACTGCTTCCTTCTGTGACTGTTGCTAATGCAAGTAGGTGGTGGGCAGAGATGTCAGGGAATTCAAACCCTGGATGGGTGGTTGATACAAATGCCTTACTTCAGGTCTTGTCTTTTCTTTTTAATTTTTTTTAATGTTTATTTATTTTTGAAGGAGAGAGAGACAGAGTGTGCGTGGGGGAGGGGCAGAGAGAGAGGGAGACACAGAATCCAAAGCAGGCTCCAGGCTCTGAGCTGTCAGCACAGAGCCCGACGCGGGGCTGGAACTCACGAGCTGTGAGATTATGACCTGACCCGAAGTCAGCCGCCCAGCCGACTGAGCCACCCAGGCGCCCTTCAGGTCTTTTCTAAACTGGAGAGGTTATAGGGCACTACCCCACCAGGGTCCTCGGAATTTCTCTATTGTGATTGTTCTTTCGTTCATTTGACCTTCACCTGGACTGTACACTTGAGAAAGGAAGACCACATGCTTGTTTACCATGGCATTCTTAGTGCCCAGCGCTGAACAGGTGCATAGTAGATGCTCGAATGTGTGCTCAGTTGAATTGAACATGGCTTTCGGTCATGTTGCCCCTGCACCTCTTGAAACTTAAAGCTGGGTAAATAATTGACCCTTCATTTCCCCTCAACTTACTTGCAGTGGCCAAGTTATTTGCTTCATAGGAGAAGAAAAATAGTCAAATAACGTGATGAAGTTTTTGAGTTGGTGATGAGACTTTTTAATTTAACGCAATGTAATTTAACCTCTGTGATACTAGAGTAATTGCATGTTGTTTCTAACGCATTGTATTACCGTGTAACATTACCCTACAAAGCTGAATCTTTTTATTGTCCTGCTTTAGCATTTCCTAATACAAATAAAACTTTTTTGGCAATAACTTCTGCATTGCAATCAGAACTTGAGCGTTAGAATTTATATGTATATTGGTCATTTCTCTTATTCATTTAAGAGGGGTGATATGATTTAAGAAGTGATATGATGTAATACTGTACTAAATTATGTCTAACAAAGCCAATCATAAATGAAATTTAATAAACTCTTATTGCTTAACTAATGCGCAGTTTTATTGCTTTCCTAGAGTTGGTTTTAACGAAAATATATGGTATTTACACTTACTGGTGCAATATGCTCTCATTGTAATGACCATTAAGTTTGCTTAATAAAAAACTTACTAGGGGCGTCTGGGTGGCACAGTCGGTTAAGCGTCCGACTTCAGCCAGGTCACGATCTCGCGGTCCGCGAGTTCGAGCCCCGCGTCAGGCTCTGGGCTGATGGCTCAGAACCTGGAGCCTGTTTCCGATTCTGTGTCTCCCTCTCTCTCTGCCCCTCCCCCGTTCATGCTCTGTCTCTCTCTGTCCCAAAAATAAATAAACGTTGAAAAAAAAATTAAAAAAAAAAACTTACTAAAATAACTCTAATTAATGCTTTTCTGACAAGTAATCTCGGGGCACCTGGGTAGCTTAGCTAGTTAAGTGTCTGACTCTTGATTTTGGCTCAGGTCGTGACCTCACGGTTTGTGGGTTTGAGCCCTGCATCAGGCTTTGTACTGACAGCATGGAGCCTGCTTGGGATTCTCTCTCCCTCTCTGCGCCCCTGCCCTCCTTTATGCTCTTGCTTTCTTTCTCAAAAATAAATAAACTTAAAAATCTTTTTAAAAATAAAAAAGTAATCTGTACACCCAGCATTAGGATTGAACTCACCACCCAAGATCAAGAGTCACCATGCTCTAGTGACTTGAGCCAGCCAGGCACCCCCTAATTAATGCTTTTAATTCAGAGGTGTGACTACAATTTTTTTCTTTTGTCAAAACAAACAAACAAACAAACAACCAGGGCGCCTGGATGGCCCAGCTGATTAAGCGACCAACTCTTGATTTTGACTTAGGTCATGATCTCATGGTTCGTGAGTTTGAATTTCGTGTCTTATCAATGCAGAGCCTGCTTGGGATTCTCTCTCTCCTTCCCTCTCTGCACCCACCCCCCGCTTGCCCAGTCTCTATCTCTCTCAAAATAAACAAAGTTAAGGAAATCATCATAGTTTAAGTTTAGGGAAAACAATAAAGTCTAACTTTCTGAAATGGCATAAAGACTGGAGAGGACAAGAAGAACAGGCAAGATCTGCTAAGCATAGAATGGACTTGATCTGGAAGTCTGATGTTACAAACTGGCCAGCTCAAGGACCAGATGCAGGCTGCAAAAAAGTTTTGCTTGGCTTGTCCAATGTTTTTTTTTAATTTTTTTTTTTCAACGTTTATTTATTTTTGGGACAGACAGAGACAGAGCATGAACGGGGGAGGGGCAGAGAGAGAGGGAGACACAGAATCGGAAACAGGCTCCAGGCTCTGAGCCATCAGCCCAGAGCCTGACGCGGGGCTCGAACTCATGGATCGCGAGATCGTGACCTGGCTGAAGTCGGACGCTTAACCGACTGCGCCACCCAGGCGCCCCTGTCCAATGTTTTTAAAATGCCTAAATTTCTCTTTCAAGTCACGGGTCCCCCATTCCCTATTGATTTTCTCCCAACCGCCTTACTCATTGACTTTACCTGCTGGGCCCTAGTAAGCATCAAATGCCTGGAGAATGGCGACATCATTAAAAGAAATAACAGAACTTGGGAAAGAAAGAAGTGAAAATGGAGATTTTAAGAATATATGAATTTGAAAGGCTGATGAACCCACTGACAGAACTGTCCACGTAGGTTAAGAGTTGAGGCTCTAGAGAGCATGGACACAAAGAAGCTAATGGCAAAATCCTGGGCATCTCTCAAGTAAGGGCTGTAAGTCACCAGAATCACAATGACGGGGGGGGGGGGGGAATGCAAGAGAAACAGTGTGGAGCAAGGCTATGGAGGTCAGAAAGAGAGAACTTCGAAAAGATACAGGAAAGCCCAGCTGAGATTAGTTAGCATTAACTATGGCTCAAACTGCCATGATTTTGTGATTTTATTACCTATTACAAACTGCATGGATTTTTTTTAGATGCAACTAGTTAACGGTCCTATAAAAGTGCAGTCCACAAAAATGAATCACAAGCCCGTTAGTGCCAGAAGCATGGCTTTTCCTGAAGGGCACCTGGTGTTAAACTATCAGTCTTTAGGAGCGTAGTTTTCCTAGTCCCTGTTTCTTTCTAATGTGAAGATATGTTTGAGAATTTCATTATATGTTGTCTCTTTTTCTTACCAGCATTAATTCTCCTGAGCAATAGATTTTTTAAATCTCTCCTCTTTGGAGATGTTGCACACTGAAACTGATTAGGATTCTGTTTCAAGTCAGCTAATAGCCGAGAGGGGAAAAAATTCTGGTTTCACCTCCATCTAAAGAATAGAGCTTGGCAGGCCACATTTTTTTACTGGCTTCATTTCTGCCTCATTGACTCTACCCTTGTTCCTCCTTCTCATTTGTTCTCTTGTTACATTTCACACATCCAAAAAGCCACCTTAAGTCCTTTTTTGGAACAAGCCAGAACATATAAATATTAAACATATACTTAAGGTACGATAAGCACTTTAATACTAATGGTCATTATTAAATTCAAATCCTATGTCTACAGATACAAGGCACTAGACCCCAAAAAGTTTTTCGAAACTCTTAGAACTTTCCATTTAAGAATATGGGTGAGAACACAGAGCAAAATCCAAATTTATAATAGTACCCAATCACAGCAAAATTTGAGTGGAAAAAATTAAGACTCGGCTATACGTTTCTGTGTGAAGATATGTAACATTTATTCCTGACAATTTAGGAAAAGCAATTTGCCCTCTTTAATGACTCCGGAAAGCTCTCTTTCCAACTCAACTAACGCTATTCAAAATCAGTACGTTCCAGGGGTTGAGAAGGTGGGCTCTGGAGCCAGACCACCTGGTTTCCCAGTCCCCTTGAGCTGTGTGACTCTGGCAACTCACCTACCTCGCTTGAAAAATGGTGTTCACAGAACCTACCTAAGATTTTCTGGACTAAACGTCGTGTTTACATGAGTAAGGTGCTTAGAATAGTGTCTACAACCTTTAAAGTGAACAAAAAATTTGGTAGCTATAATTATTTTGGTTTCACAGTTGGTAAGCCTCATGAGTCTCCTGGGGTCAATGCCAAAACTTTGGATCCAAACAAGTCGATGAGTAGCTGGATTCCGGAAGCCCAAGCTAATGTGTACCTGAAGACCAGAGTCTTTCCACTGCCCTGCTGAGTAATACCTATGGAAGTGAAAGTTTCAAGTCAAGAGCACTCAAGGGCTAGTGTTTTCAGGTTTGATAACATACTTCCACATTAACTGCCTCCTACTAGAGCCCTACAAATTCATTTATTAAGTATTTATTGAGGGTCTACTTTATCATGCAGTAAGTTTTAAATACACAAAGCATTTATAACCAACCTACACGGACACTCTTTACCTCTGTTTCAAACTATCATAGTCAATTAATTAAAGCTACTACACATTACCAAAAGAGCAAAAATGCTTCAAAGTGTTAGACCTGTTGTGAATTTAACGGAAATCACAAGTAGGAGCCTAACACAATCTCAAGGCTGAAAATACCGAAAACATACAAAGCGTGATAACAGTAAGTAAACTTTGAGATCCCAGTAGCAGGAGTCGGTCCCACATGGGAAGTATTTGGTAGGAGTGAAGAATATAGTGACAACTGCTTAGTCCCACTGGACCATTCGCTCTTCTTCAGGAAGAATACTCCAGTTTGGGGAGGCCATATCCCGGGCCAGCCAGTTAAAATCGTCGACGTCGTTCCAGTTATTTTTGCTCCTATCTAAACCAGAGCCCTCGAAGTCCTTGTCGATACCCGGGTAGCTCCAGGTATAAGGGGCGAACTGGATCCCGCTACAGTCTTCCACGATGGCCCTACTGGTCACCTGCAAGAAGATGCGGGTGTCTCTCGTAGTGTGTACGCGCAGCTGTTGGCAGGCCACGGCCAGCACGCAATCACTGCAGTCCTCCAGGAACACAGAGGTGGACACTGGGCCGCAGAGCACCGTGCAACTTCGGGCTTTGGCCAGCCGCAGGGTGTTGGGATTGCCATACAGTCTGACTGTGCATTTGCTCAGTTCGGTCAAAAGAACGTCACGCTGGTGCAGCTCCTCTGCCCTCTTCTCCAAGACTTGGGACTCCACGTTGGAGAAGCCGAAGACCCAGCTGGAGCCGATGCCTCCCTCCTCCTTCAAGGGCGGCGGGGAGGCCAGGATGCCTTCTGCCGCCGGGGCTCCAGAAGCGGAGTCTACTTTGGCGGCCGAAGCAGCGTCCTTCCTCCGGGTCTTGAAAGCGAAACGCTTCTTGGGCTGCAGCTCCTGGCGCCGCTCGGCCAGGGTCGTCTGTAGCCGCGTCAGCGCCTCCTGTCCCTGCCGCAGGTCGTAGGCGGCCAGGAACAAAACCGAGTCGTTGACAAGTTTCTGCAGGCCCTGGAGCCGAGCGGCCGCCTCCTCCAGCCGCTCCATGGATTCTCCGCCCTCCAGAAGCTCTTCCACGGCCGCTCGCTCCCGAGCGAAGGCGGCAGCGAAAAAGTCGCTCTTCTCCTCCTCCACCTCCTGGTTCTGCCGCTTTTGCTTCCGCCTTTCCACCTCCAGTTGACGCTCTTGCTCTCGTCTCTGAAGCCGCTCAGGCACCAGGCTCCGGTCCCGCTGCGAGCCCACGGCCCCATTCGCCGCGGCGGCGGAGCAACTAGCAGTCTCCATCTTGACTTCAAGCTTCCTTTCTCCTGCCTTGCTTCCTCCTGGCGCGCCCTGCGAGAGGCCTCCCACCAACGCGTCCTGTGATTGGCCGGACATGCTTACGTCAGCCCCGGCCTTATTTTCTTAGCCCATTGGCTCCTCCGCGTCGGAGAGGGCGGGGATATGAGGCGGGGCCGATTGACAAGGGGGGTGGGGAGACAAAGGTCCTTGTGGATGGGTGGGGTGGGAGACAGGAGGGGGAAGCTTTTTTTCCTCTTAAAGGGGCAGGACTTATATCCGGGATTGTGGGGTGAGTTGCAGCAGCGGCAGCTGCACATGTGGGTTTGTTTATAAGAACAAGGTTAGAAACTCGCAGGCCTCCCCCTCCCCCCAGCTCCTCCCTACTACCCCCTTACAGGCCGGAGATCCGCTACTGGTGGGGGGAATGTGTGCGTATGGTGGGTGGGGGGACAGGTAGTGGTGAGAAAGATGGAGGGGGGGGTGGAATATTGCACCGCCCGGCCCGCGTCGGAGGAAGCGGCAGCTGGAACAGCTGGCTAGGGAGCCGCTTGCATGCCTCTGGTTTTTTCTTTTCCCTTCCACCACCCCCTCCCCCAACCCATTCCTGCCGCCCCCAAACCCTCATTCTACCCGCCTTCCTCCCTCAGCCGCTGCAGTTCCGCGTGGCCTGGGTCTCCTGGATTCCCGCAGGCACTTACGGGGGCGGGAGTAGGCGAGGGGCACTGGGATGGGAGAGACTGGGTTTCTCACTGCAACCGGGTTCCGGGGGCCCAGGGGCAGTCTAAAAACGGATTACTATTTTTTTGGCCAATTGCTGCAGTCGGAGGGGTGGGGGCGGGGGAGGGTGAGATTCCACACCCCCTTCCTCTTCCTCCCACGTCCTCCCCCCCCCCTTCGAGGTCAGTCGCTCTGCAGCTGCGCGCCGCTGGCCGCGCGGGGGTGAGACCCGAGCCCGGGGTTCTGCTGCTCTCCCGTGGGACCGTCGGTCTTTAGGAAAGCGTTGAGGGAAATGTTACATTATTTCTAGGGTGGTGGGAGGGATTTGTCACCGGAAGTGAATGAGCCTAGCCTAAAGTCGGGATCAGGCGGAGGTGTGAGTGGGCAGCCAAGCCGGCGCAGTCACTAGCAAAACGCAGGGCCACCGGCCGGCTGAGAGCCGGGACGCCGCGGGCTGCGGGCGCACGGCAACCTCGCGTGCTCGGGGCAGCCCGGGGAGCGCGGGGCGCGCCTTTGACCGCGCCCGCCTTACCAGGCTTCGGTTTCACCCTGATCTCCACCCCCGTTCGCAGCCTCCCATCGTTGCTAATTGGGGTATTTGCCCAAGAAACTGTCCGTTGAAATTTCACTGATACACCTGCATTTTGATGCATAGAAAGATGGGAGGAAACGAGAGAATTACGACTTATTTCCAGTTTTTCACGCCCCACTCTCCTCTTTCCGTTCCCACTTAAAACAGCAAAACACACGTAAATTCCCTTATTTTTCCACTGAAAGCAAGCACACATCGCACTGTTGGGCAAATTGTGCGCCCCGGGGGATAGGGGTGGGGGTCCCGGGTGTTTGTGTGTGCAGCAGATGGGAACCGGGGTGCTGAAAAAATCCTGTGCTTAACGCTTGTAGTATATATTCTTCGTTTTCGTTCGCTTTGTTTTCATGTGCAGACTAGACGAGGCTTTTTGTGTGGTTTGGTTATGAGGCTGGTGAAAGAAATATAGCTGGTTAACTTGTCTAAGCCATACGGAGGCGTAACAATAGCTGCGTCATTTTATAAAGAGTTGATTTAACCAAGGAAGGTTTAAAGAAGATTTATTTTGCTAGGGGGAACGACCCCAAAAACAAAAACCTGACCTGCCTCCCTTAAGTTTTTCAGCAATTGAATCTGTCCCACTCAAGTTTGGAGCCAACCGAGGTTTACTGGAGCTGCAGGTGCAGTGAGGCAACATTTCTGCATTAGCCATAGTGGACTATGGGTGGTCGTTAGTGTCTGTATCAGAGGTGGAATTGAATGTCATTAAGCCTTCCCAAGAGCTTCATTTCTGCCCCCAAACAGGTTTTGGCATAGAGGCCAAGAGACTTTGGAAGTTTCTGAATATTTTAAGTTGGGCAGTTCAAACTTTTATGAGAAGAGGTAAAGGACAAAAAGGGACAGGTTGCTGGAGGCAGTTTCAAAGACCGATGTTGGGCCTGCGTGGGAATGGACAGTGGTCAGTGGTGTGGTCATCATGAAGGATTGGCTTGACTGTTCTTTACAGACCCCAGCACAGCTGCAAGCCAAGGTAGGTAGGTGGTCAGAACATGAATATAAAGCTACGTTTCTATGTTCAAAAGCAATAGGAGGGTTATAAAACTTCCAGCAGTGCTGGACTGTATTTGTGTCTTTTTTCTGACATTTGAGGGCAGACAATTCAGTGTGCATCCTTGAAATGGATCCCAGCTCCTGGGAGGTAAGTGCCTGTTAAATGGAAGGAAAGAGGGTGATGTATTACAACGATGTGAAATGTGGCAAAAGGCAAGCAGCTTGAGAGTTCTGAATCCTACTTTCATAACCTTCAGGAATTTGTGAATCAAGTACTACCCCTCTTCTAGACATCTTGAAAGAATTCTAAGGTATTACAGACTTTAAAAATTATTTAACAAAAATTTATGGTTTATGGTTCTATTTGTTAGATTTACTTTATAAGAAGATCCTGAAATTTTCAAGCATAGAAAAGGGGACAGTAGAGGTGATGTGTATGTATCACCCAAGCTTCAACAATTACCAACTGACAGTCCGATTTCTTCTGAATCTCTGACCACTTACACACCCCATCACCCTGATTATTTTACAGCAAATCCCAAACATTATATTATTTCATTTTTCATAATCTATAAATATTTCAATATGTCTCTCAAAATGGTGAGGACTACCTTTTCAAAGTTTACTTATTTATTTTGAGAGAGTGAAAGAGAGTGCACACAGGGAGGGGCAGAGACAGAGGGAGAGAGAATCCTAGGCAGGCTCCATGCAGTGTGGTACCCAATGCGGGGCTTCATCTCGTGAACAGTGAGATCGTGGCCTGAGCTGAAGTCGAGAGTCAGATGCTTAAAGCGACTGAGCCACTCAGGCGCCCCTACCTTTTTAAAACATAACCACATATGGAGTGCCTGGGTGGCTCAGTCGGTTAAATGTCTAACGTCAGCTCAGGTCATGATCTCATGGTTCGTGGCTTCGAGCCCCGCGTCGGGCTCTGTGCTGACAGCTCAGAGCCTGGAGCCTGCTTCGGATTCTGTGTCTCCCTCTCCCTCTGCACCTCCCCTGCTCATACTCTGTCTCTCAAAAATAAATAAAACATTTTCAAAAATAATTTAAAGAAACCATAACCGCATATCACCACACTCCAAAAAAGTAGTGATATTTCCTTATCATCAGAGTTCCAGTCTATATTCATATTTCCTTGATTATCCTATAATTTCCCCATTTTAACTTATTTATTGAATAAGGAGCCAAAAAAGTTCCATATAATGTGTCTAGCTGATATGTTCCTTAAATCACTTTTAAATCCTGCCCGCCTACCAATTGTTTTGTTAGAAAAACCTGATTATTATTAGTTCAGTAGAGTTTCCCAAGTCTGGATTATGCTGATTATGTCTCCATACTGTGTTAGATGTTAAGTATTTGTCGTATTCATTTGATCTTGTAATGTCATAAAGTGAATGTTTATGTATTTATGCTGCAGGAAATGAAAGTATCTCAGAACAGAAAACAGTTTTTGGGTGTCTAGGCAGCCAGGAGTAAGTCCTTTTGCTGTTCTGTGGAGTTTATCAGAGACCCTGTGTGGATGAGAGATACCAGGCAAATAAACAGTTCCAGGCCGTTTTCTGGTAGCTCAGTTCCAAAAGAGGTGGTATCTTTCAGCAGACGTTGACTATTGGATATAAAGCACTCATTAAAGAGCTCTCCATGCAAGTGTCAAATGTTAGGCAAATTTTCCAACTTTCCGGACCATGAAAGATGACCGCGTGAAGGCATGTGCTGTCCTTGAATAGACACCACGTTGGTCTGGGAAGCTGGACAGGAGCAGACCCCTTCCTTCCACCTTTGCCCCTGGCTCTTATATGCTCTTCAAAACTCTTCTCTTTCTGGAACTATTTGCATCATTGTGCATCTCATGCCTAGCCCAGAGGCTGGCACCGTTTATTAAGCCAGCATCAGTTTATGAAGCACTTACTGTGCCCCACGCCTCCCCCACTGAACCCAGGGAGGCCCTCAGGCTGCCAAGGTGAATAAAGACAGGCATAGCCTCTTTCCTCTTGGGGAGGCCTAACCTGGGCAGATAATGGCACAAATATGTAAAATTGTAACAGTGACAGTGTTACAGAGGAAAAGAGGAACGAACAGTGAGTGCCTCCAGGGGGAGGTTTGACCTTGCTGGGGAGGTCGGTGAAAGCTTCCTTAGGGGTTGAGCTGAGGCTGGAAGGGTGACCAGGAATCGATAAAGAGAAGTGAGTGAACACTGGAAAGTGTCTTCTAGATGTATGGGCTCATGGAGTCACTGGTGACTTTGTGGAGAGCTGTGCCAGAGGACTGCTGTGGGCAGGAGGCATACCACACGAGTGTGAGCAGGGATGGAACGCCGTAACTGAGCTAGTGACACACAGATAAGTCTTTGGAGAAGTTTGACCATGAGGGGGAAGGGCCACTAGCTGGGGGTTGGGAGGAAGCCAGTGAGGTGTTTTTTTTACAGAGAAAACATAGGTTCATAATACAAGGATCCTGAAAAGGCTGGTGGGGGCAGGGGGAAGGGGGCCGGGGGGGTTGGGGAGAGGGAGGCTGGGGTGGGGAGTGGGGGCTGTCGGATCCAAAGCACAGGTGCAAGGATCAGCCCTAAATAGAGAGCTGGGGCAGATTCTCTACTGCAAGGCTGTTTTAACTTTTTATTGTGCATGTTTCCCAACATACACAAACTTTTTGACCTCAACCCATAGTCACAGATACATGGTAACTGAAACAGAAGCTTTAAGAAACAGTAAATACTCTTACTGTGTGCAATAGATACTATTTTCTATTCTACTTACTGCATTTCAAAAATGCTGATCAAGGCCCCCTACATTAAACTGCAGCGTTTTTTCTTTTGTAAGGTTTATATATTTATTTTGAGAGAGAGAGCATGAGCAGAGGAGGGGTGGGGGGGGGAGGGCAGGGGGGAGAGAATCCCAAGCAGGCTCCATGCCCAGCGCAGCATGGAGCCAGAGGTGGGCTCAGTCTCTCAAAGCTGAGATCTTGAGCTGAAATCAAGAGTCAGACCGACTAAGCCACCCACTACCTCCTAAACTGCAGTTTAAACATGCCACATCAGCAGGGAGGGTGCAGCTATAGGGAAATTTGTATGTTTGGTGATTGGCAGATGAGTCAGATGGTTTCTGGGTTCTCTGTAAAAGTAGATAGTGAGGGGCGCCTGTGTGGCTCAGTCAGTTAAGTGTCCAAATAGCTCAGGTGATGATCTCATGGTTCTTGAGGTTCTTGAGTTCGAAACCCGCTTTGGGCTCTGCGCTGACAGCACCCGGCTCTGTGCTGACAGTATGGAACCTGCTTGGGATTCTCTCTCTCCCTCTCTCTC